AAGAAGACTAGAAAGCATTTTGAAATGGGTGGAATCCTTCCTTTTCTCCCTCTGGTAACTTCATTATAATGTGAAGATTATTAGAAATATAAAATTATAGCATATTTTTGAAAAATTGATAGTTTTTAAAAATGACTACCATATCTCACAGATTTTTGTGTGTATGAGAATATGAAGAGTTAGATATTTGGCAAATAAAGTATATTAGTGATTTTCTTTCTCCTCTGATTCATTTACTGACAATATGCCTTCTTTCCTGCAATTTTGTATACCTCCTTTTAACTTTTTAAGTGAAAATATTTCCTTCATAAATTTCAAATGAATTGGCAGTTTCCTCATTGAAAGATTTTGCACATTTGCAAATGGTATCTTGGAGTCAGTTCCTGATATCAGCTTTGATTCTGTGAGTTTCTACCATGCATGATTGGACAGGAGCAGGGCAGAACTACTGGGAAGAGCCAAGCTTTCTTGGAGAATGGGTTGGTACCTGTCGGAGGCTCTTCTATCCTGAACAAGTTTCCCAAGAAGAAGCCACCTTGCTAGTCTCACTGAACTTTGATTCAGTCTCCCAGTAACATGAATTGGTCAAAGGTAGGGTTTGGTTCTGCGTTGAGTGGAGCAAGTACCTTGATTTCCTTGCCAGTGCTTCAGAATCTCTGGTACTGGCTTGGATCACTTAGATACTGAAAACCTACTAAAAATTCTGGATTGCAAAGATAAGTCCAGAAAGGGAATTTCCATTGTGACCTATGTATCCGTTGGTTTCACTTGGCCAATATTGCATGTATTTCTCTTTCTTATTATGTCAGAGAAGGACAATTTTAATTAAAAGCTCTAAAGAGAGGCTTCTTGTGTGTACATTTAATCAATTTGAGGATGCATCAGCATATTACAAGAGACTGGGAGCCTCCTGCCCCTCTCTCATGTGGTAGTTTTCCTCTTCTTTCTATCAAGTAGCATCTGAGAATTTGGGTTTACAGACCGATCCTAGTTGCCAGTAATGCTAAATCTTGAACAAATTATATTTCTTGTTACTAGGGAAAGTACTGCAATATGAGTTCCACCACATAATGTGTATGTGTTTGTGTGTGTTCTTCCATTTCCTTCTCTCAGGTTATAAAAGTGGTCTGTATTTCTTTTTAAAGTTTATAAAATATAAAGAAGAAAAACAAACCCTCATAACCTTCCTCTCTGTAGCAGCCTGGGGTAACATTATGATGTGAGTGCTTACTATCATGTTTTCTATGCATATTATATTTTATATAGTTGAAATTAGAGTGTATACAAATTCTCCTTTATTTTAAAAAATATTCACACTTTCTAATGCTATTAACATTTTTAATATATTTTAAAAGTTAATCATATTTCTGTGGGCATATTGAGTCACAAAGTTACAAAATACCTATTTTATACATTTATTAAATTTTTAAAAAATACTAATGAAAATTACTATGCTGTAGCTAGAACACTAGTAGTTAATAATATCAATTTCCTTTAAAGGAAGTAATTAAATAGTGCCTATAAATAAATTAGCAATGCCAACTCACTAACTCATCACTGAGCCATCGCTGAATTTTTTTCTTATGTTTTGTCCTTGATATAGAACAGTGTTTCTTAACCTTTTTTGAGCTACCAACCCTCTGAGAATTCAGTGTAAGCTATGAACCTTCTTTGCAGGGAAATTCATATTTACACTAAAAAACTAATTATAATGATACTCAATTATGATATGCTAGGCACTCTGCCAACTGCTTCACATGTGTTATTCTGTTTAATCCTCATAGGAGCACTATAAGGAATGTTCTATTATCCTCATTTTTTAGATAAAGATATTGAAGTGTAAAGAGGTTAAGTAAATTGTGTAAGTCCATAGAGTTACTAAGTGGAAAGCTGGGATTCAAATTCTGATTTTTATTGCTCCAAAGCCCATCCCTTTAATCAATGTGCATATAATTTTAGGGAGCTCATGAATTCCTAAAGCCTGTTTATTGATACTCAGATTAAGGACCCCTTACCTATTACAATCCAGAGATTTTCATTGGCAGTGAAGAGCACATGTGACCAATGAATCTTGCTATTTGTGTAACTTATTTAATTAAAACACAATATTGGTTGAACATCTACTATTTTGAGTGGATATTTGGTTTTGTGAAATGGTCTTTATCCCTAAGGAGTTTGCTATCTATGTGAGAAGACAAGAATTATATACATAAAGCAATGAGAAAACATACAAATATGAGGTTGAATATATACTCATTAGACATTTCCATAAGCTATATGTGAAAATTAATTTCTTTACTTTGTCATACCTGATGCAACTGTCATTCTTTGATTCCTTGATTTATAAAAGGGGCAATCAAGCCTAAAAGGTCATTATATCCTTTGGGAACCTGGAAGATTCAGTGTGTCATAAAAATGAGGTCAATAAAGTGACTCTGAGAACTAAATGCGTATCACATCCAGATTCCTAAATTGTTTCATCAGCTTAATCTATTAGCCCGAGGGAGCATGCCCAATAAGGAAATTCAAGAATGTGTAGCCAGCTTCCAAGCATTCAGACGGGTGATTCCGTTGAGTTGGACATATATAGGATGGCAGAACATCTTGATAATTGCTGCCATTTTGACACAAGTAGGGTTTGTACTGACAGAGAAGTCTTCAGATGCTTCGAGTGATACAGCATAGACTTGAGTTATGCAGTGCCAAGTGTGACAATCCATCATCCTTGGGAGAAACTATCAAGTATGGGAAGCTAATTTTAGCTGACCACCTAACAATCCAAGCAGTCAAAAAGAATAGCTGTGGCTGTAATTCAAAGAATTGCTATTAACAGGAGCATAGTATGGGAAAATTGTACATTTAACTCGAATTGCTCCTGTATACAAGGTTATCACAGATATTGGCTATTGTAGATATAAACAATGGATTATATCAAGCTTTTTATTAACATAGCCTTCATAAAATCATCATACAGTTTTAGAATTTTACTTTTTTTTTTTTTTTTTTTTTTTGAGACTGAGTTTCGTTCTTGTTGCCCAGGCTAGAGTGCAATGACGCGATCTCGGCTCACTGCAACCTCCGCCTCCCAGGTACAAGTGATTCTCCTGTATCAGCCTCCCAAGTAGCTCAGATTACAGGCATGTGTCACCATGCCTGGCTAATTTGTTTGTATTTAGTAGAGACGGGATTTCAACACATTAGTCAGGCTGGTCGCAAACTCCTGATCTCAGGTGATTCACTCGCCTCGGCCTCCCAAAGTACTGGGATTATAGGCGTGGGCCACCGTGCCTGGCCAGCATTTTACTCTTTTAAAAAAGTTTTATCACTTGGGCAATATACAACAGAATTAATTTATGTATGGCATTTGAATTTTCTTACCAAAGCAAGTAGAAGCTTTAGTACTGCTAAGCATGCCATATAGTTTATCTCATTAAAATAAAAAAAGAGGCATTTTTAATTTTAAATGTCTACAATAAGAATTGTGTATATTGTTGTTTAATACATCTGTGCTATATTTTAATTAGTTTAATAAATTCCTTTAAATTTCATTTTGTGTAATGTTCTCATAATTCCTGCAAACTAAGTCATTAGCATTATTTTTAAAAGTGGGGCAAGGGTTTTATGAAATGCTATGTCTGAGAAGCCCCCAAATGGAAAATATTTTTAAAGAACATAAGTTCCTAACCTTGTTCACAAATTACCATTTGAATCTATCCAGCCACTAGTTGTTGGAAGTAATTTTCTAGACATATATGCAAATATCTTGATAGATTTTATTGATTCCAAAAGAAGAATATGATACCAACTCTGTATAGTTTCTTAAATTCAGTCCTGGATAGAAATATAATTTGAAGGAAAACATTCCTTTTCATATTTGCTTTGAACAGACACTTGAGTTGTTTTTGAGGTAAATAGGAGATTGGCTGTGGGCTTCATAGAAAGAATTGAAGAATAGTCTAACTGCCCAACTTTTGAATTTGGCCTGTGTGTGTATGTGCATGTGTGTGTGTGTGTATAGGGAACTTAAGACCTTTTGATTTCATAATAAGCAGGGCTCAGGGACAATAAAATTTGACATTCTTAAGTGTTACTAGTTTTTGTCCCTATATCCCTGTACAGCCATCTTCTTGTTAACGACATAGAAGCCAGAGTCATAAACTGAGCATGTACCCAAGGCGCCACTGTAAATTGCAGATAGTATTCATGTAGTCTCTTCAGGCTAAGATTAAATTGGGGTAGAGGAAGAAGAAAGAATTTTTGAGAGTGGAATGGAAGTAGAAGTCAAGGACAAAGAATACGCTAGAAGGACAGACACGTGCAAATGTTCCCTAAGTTTTGCAGTGAGATTTATTCAGATGGACCTTTTCATATCTGTAAATATTCCTTTGCTCAAAAGCCAAGCCATGGATTGGGATAGCCTCTGCTTCTGGGGTGTGTGTGTATGTGTGTGTGGGTCGGAGAGGGGAGGCGGGCAATAATGCAGTCATGAGATAATACAAATAATCAGTGAGGGAATAATTAATGATGTGGCAGGGAATATTTTTTGATAAATGCTTGGGGAATGAGGTGACAAGCGTGAAATTAGAAAATTCCTTCAGCGATCTAAAATATAAATAGCTTTCGGAACTGAAAAGAGTTTCACAGCTGAAGATTTTATTGTGTTGAGAGGAAAAACTTTTTTCTCTCCCCCACTCCCTCCTCCTTTGCAAGTTGTTTGTCCATTCACAAAACAAATACTCTGAAGCCCAGCGCAGCTCATGGGAATAAATTTCAGGTCGAATTAGTACAGTTTCCTTGCTGTCAGGATGCTGGAATTAATGGTGTTTTGATGACACGAATTTTGAAGGGCAAACAAAGAAGCTGAAGGGAGAGAGACATGACTCCTTAGAAGCTTGGTCCTCCTCTCCCCCAGCTTCTCTTGTCTTCCCTGTCATCCGTCTGCCAATCTCCCTGTCCATGGTTAGTTAAAGGCGCTTTTTATCCTCTTTTCTTTCCCACAGAGTTTGCCAGATCCGGCCCGGTGCCTGGGTTCCAGGAGGACACGCTGCAGTTGGCCTTCATCGACTTGAGACAAGTAAGTCTTTGTGTTTTTGTTTTTTGTTTTTCTTTTAAGATGTGTGACTGAAGACCATCAGGTCTTAAGGAAAAGGGGAAGGGAGGGGGATCGGCATTGGCGATTCACATTGGAGACCTAAGGGTTTTCCCTGTATTTGAGGCCACCTCTTTTATTTAGCTATCTGGGATCCTTAGCTATGGTGGAGTTAAAGGTTTTGTGGGTAAAAGGGAAGGCGGCGGTGGGAGGAGGGACCCAGAGTAGAGGGACTCAAGTGACCCTCAAGTGATGCGACCCATTGTGCTGTTGTTGGCTTTTGCAGACATAGCAAAAAGATAACTCAGCAAACCAATGCTAAGCAGGTGCACTGATGCAGAGACTGCCTGCTTGGAGAAGTTTTGTTTGTAGATAATGTGGCCAGTAGCATTTAAGAAAATGAAATATTTTACATTCTGGATTGTTGGTTTGGTTTGTTGACTTTTTCCTGCTGCCTTAAGTCTTCCCGCCTCCTCCTTTGTAGAATCTGGTCAGTCATGGGTAACTAAGTGGTCATTTTTGAAGACGATTAGAAAAGGCCTGGACCAGTCATGCTAACCCTATTAAAGTAATGTGATGAAAGCTGGTACTTGGGCATACCTGAGCTTTGGCAAGCCCATTAGATAGAACCAGTCATTCTATAGGACTGTTTCTTGCAGATTGAACTGAGTGGGTTGGTAGGCCTTGGTGGTTTGGATATAGGGAACAGGGTGGGCGGGGGCCCAGTGAGGGAGAGAGTTAACTGGGCTCTGTCATCTCTTCACTCTTAAGATGGATGGGGTTGGATAGAAAGTGTGAATGAAGTAAGAATCAATGACTGATGCTTCTTTCCTATTAAAACAATCTTTTTTTTGTCTGTTTAAAAAAGGGGGCTGGCTTTGTTTCTCCTGCCATAATGATGCAGTGCCTCTTGTTTTCAGAGCTGACATAGTTTGCATTCTGAAAACTTTTAGATGCCCAGGGTATTTCTTAAAGCTGCAGGACCCCTTGTATCGGTAGTTCCTTACCACTGTGATTCGATTCATGCTGGAACAGCTTTTAACCCATAATGGATGGCCTGAGCTACCCCTGAATCCTTGTAGATGGGTGGTGTAATCTGTCATCTGATGACAATTCTGGAAAGCACTGTTAAGCAGAAAACAGAAAATTGTGTGTCTATAGACCTGCCAAAGTTTGAGGATTCAGGCTGTGTCCCAGAAACGTGTGTCAACTTAATATTTGGGGGCCAAGGTGGGGGTTCTCTTGCACATTAAGGATTCACCAGCCTGATCACAAATGGAACAATCTCTTCCCACACTTAAGACCTTCCACCTGTAGTTTTAGCAACTCAACCGAGACTTTAATCCCTTGACTGATGTAAGATTGAAAGATTGGGATTTTGGTTTAGGGTATGTGAAGTGATATCTGTTGGATTCCCTCCCACACTCCTGCTTCTTCTCAGAAACTTCTAACCCAATTGGCTTTTCTTGGAAAGCAGAAATTGAATTTCATTGGAGAAACACATCCAAGGAAAAATGTTTCCGTTCTCACTATTCATGAGAAGGAAGCATGGTTATTCTCTCCAGTTTGTGGTTTTGGTCCCTATGGAAAGGAACTAGTGTTCACAGAAAATGTTAACTAAGGGAGTAAGTTAGAAAGCACAGCCAAAATAAGGTGGATCAGAGTCGGGAATGAATGTGCAAGTACTTGTAAGCTCTCAGTGAGCCCTGTCATTTATGCTTAAGTTCCTATTTTCTATTACATTTTTCTTCCCAGAGTTGCTTTTGTAATGTTTTAATGGTAGAAACCCAAAATCCAAAATTTTACTGGTAATGAAAGAGTATGCCTTTTTCTATTCATTCTGTCACCTAATTTCTACTTATACTTGTCTCTACTGAAACAGCTTAAAGGGATAATTTTTCTAACCTACACTGTTTGAAAAACTTCTTTAGTTCTTGGTCTGTAGCTCATTATTAGTAGACCTCAGGTAGGTGGAGTCATTGTGAAAAAAATGATCTCTCCACATCCTGTGCTGAAAATATTTATCTCTTTGCAGTTTGTCTTAGTCATTCTCAGAACTTATTTAAAGGAGCATCATTTTAAAAGGAGGCTTCTGAACTACAGAGATGTTCAAACTCTAAACAGAAAACCTGGGACTATGTTTTCTTAAACATTTAGGCTTCTAAAGTAGAATTTTTGAATTTTGGGATTGGAGGATAATCTTAAAAATTATGTAGTATTACCTTTGGCTTTATACTTCAATCCCTGTACAACACCCCAGACTTTGATTGAATATCTTCCTTGAGGAGGATCCACTACCCCAAAGCAGCAAGTTCCACCTTACAACAATATGATTATTAGAAAGATATTTCTTAAGTTGGCTAAAATCTGTCTCACTTAACCTTAACCCTTTAAATCTTTATATTTTTATTTGGGCATCCCCAATTAGAGGAATGGGCTTCCTAGTCCTCATTTATTGAGCCTCCTATTTGCTAGTATTTGAGTCTTTTTCACATGTCACATTGTTACCTATTTCTCATCTAGTCCTCACAGGGTTGATTTTATGGACCAAAACTGGATACTACTCTCACCGGTCTGTGTTTTTCTTTCAGGCATGTTATTAAGAACACAGATTTTTCTTTCATTATATAATGACCTATCTAAACCTTTAACTGACTGCCTGAGTTATCTAGCTTAAGTGATTTAATCATTATGCCCTTAATAAGCCAAAGATAAAAATATTAAATAGGAATGGCATAAGTTAAAGGAAGAAGCTAAGGTAAGCTAAAGTTAAGGTAAATTATAGGGTACACACTCATGTAAGAAGAGGATCTGCCCCCAGTGCAGTGCAGCAAGGATATTCTTTTACTGTCATTGAGTGTATTTGACTCTCTGCTTTATATGTGTATTCTGAACGTGCTTTCATAGTCTCTTGCTTTAGAGAGTTTCAGACAGTATCAATTGAATGAATAATTTTAAAATATTCAAAACATGGAATATTTGATGAAATCATCTTTGTATAGACTATAATAACAGTGTCATTTAAAAGCTATAGAATTTCACTGGGAAGCAAATTAGATGTGGATAGAAAACTATTCATCCTTTTTCACTTGTCCTATTCTCACTTTTCTACTTCTTGGAGAAGGAGAGATGACATTTTGAATATACAAGCTTTCATGATATTTTGTTTTTGTGTGGCACTTCAGAGTTAAAGTACAAATAAGTTAAACCTCATTTGTCAGATTTCTGAGTTTGGAAAACCTACTATTAATAGTATTGTGAATTACAGAGTACAAATCAAAATCCCCTTCTTTAGCACTTTGTGTTTTCTGTCTTTGTAAGTTCATAGAAGTAGGATTGCAGTATGACTTCCCATGCAAACATCAAATATATGTGTATATTTCCATCAAAATCCAAATTTGGGCTAATGCTGAATTTTGAGAAGGATAGCTTAAAGACTCATTTAATTAGCTATCTTGAAGTGGCGTATAAACACCAAGTGCTGACCTTTAATGGTTCATAATTGAGAATTACAATATAGGACCAATAGTAGATTCTCAGTACTTACTTTATTCTTTAAACTGTGGCATGGTTTGTATTTTTCTTCCATGGTTAAACATTAAGTAGATAATGCCGATGAACACTAGAATTTGATTTTCATTTCAGTTTGTTTTATCAAAGTCTAAGTGCCTACTTTGTACAAATCACAACCTAAGTGTTGTGGGAATACAAAAAAGAATATAGTATAATCTGTGCCCTCTGGGAGCAAAGGAATGACCAGCAAATTCCTGATTCTAGTATAAGGCACACTGTGATAAGTACTACATTGAAGGATGAAGCCATTATGTATGTTTCAGTTATTTCAGTGACTTTTGCTACATAATAAATTACCCCACAACATGTTGGCTTGAAACAAGAACCACGTATGAAGCTCAAATTTCTACAGATTCTCAATTTAGGGTAGTTTCAGCTGGGCTTACTCATACTTTGAGGTCTGCTGCTAGATGGGCTAGGAACTGGTTGGTCTAGGAAGCCTTAGCTAGGGCTACTCTTTTCTACTCTCTCTCATCTCTCATTTACAAACAACCTAACCTAGACTTATTTACATGGCATCTTGGCAGAGTTCCAAGAAAGCAATAGGAAATGCGCAAACTCCTTGAAGCCTATGCTTGGAACTAGCAAACCATCAGTTCTACCACATTCTTGTGGCTAGAGCTAGTCACAAGGCCAGTCCAAATTCAAGAAATGGGGACATAAACTTCAATTTACACTCTAGTTGAGCTATAAGACATATATAAATGATGCAAATGAAGAGCAAGATTGTACCTTTAAGTGCAAAAAGAGGCCATGAAGTAGAGAGGCCTATGTGTGCCTGAGTAACTATAAAATATTTCATGGAAAAGGTGAAGAGTCGCACTGAAATTCAAGCATTGTTAAGGGAAGAAAATATGTAAAGCATAGAAAATAGCAGATTTAAGTTTTGTTTTAAAACATGGATGTTTCGTATGTTAGTTTAATTAGGATCTAGACTGTCTTTTCTCTTTTAAGTATTAGGCTGATCTCTTTAAACCCCCATTTCTTAATTTCTCGTATTAGTTTTTGTTGTTCATCTTCCTCATATACCTCTTCTTTTATGTCCTATCTATTCTCCTCATTAAATGCTACTATTTGCAGGCTACCCTGAAACATTTCACATTTCTGTTATTCACATTCATTGTAAGTGCTTAACTTCCTTTGATAATAGTTTGCATTATTTATTTAATCTGTGATAGTTCACCTTCCATGTTTGGCCAAAGGCTTGAGGGTGTTCCTTTTCTTAGTAACATCCTGTTATTTTCTGTTCCTTGGCCCCAACAGTTATTTACTTCTGATATATACTTAAGTTTTTATAAAGCTGAATGAACTAGGTTGTGACATTGCATCAGATCTCGTGAATGGAGCTTGTTGGCAACAACTCTCATACAGCAAGCCATCCCAAGATATCTAGGGCTTTTTTTAGATTGAGC